CTAAAATAAGCAACTATGAACGCGATATTATCCTGTCTAAAATAAGCAACTATGAACGCGATATTATCCTGCCTAAAATAAGCAACTATGAACGTGATATTATCCTGCCTAAAATAAGCAACTATGAACGTGATATTATCCTGCCTAAAATAAGCAACTATGAACGCGATATTATCCTGCGTAAAATAAGCAACCATGAACGCGATATTATCCTGTATAAAATAAGCAACTATGAACGCGATATGATGCTGTCTAAAATAATAACCCTACCTTGAGCACCCTCATGAGACCGTCCCTGAAGACCTGGATCTTGAGGGAGGGCGCCAACGTGACGCGGGGCGACGCGATCTCGAGCGCCGCGGCGACGTATGCCGGCACGTCAGCAACAGCGGACGCGCACTGCAGCGCCAGCAGCGCGCACGACGACACCAGCGCCCACCACCGCTCCGAGCGGTACTGACCCAGCACGTGCTGCACCACGCTATTTATAGGGGGCCGCTTTAGGAGACATGGCAACGTGAGTATGATCGGGTATATCACGACCACACATTAATATTTCTAGAGTGATAAAACATCTATTCTATTCATGTCTATCTATAGTGATAAAACATCATAAAACATCGATTCTATCATAAAAATTGACTATTAATGACAAATGAAAATACAAAATAATTTTTCCCTTTTCCACGTTTGGTTAATAATGTTTACATTTGAATACGCTTGGCATGGCTGTCTCACTGTCTTCTGGTCAACATAGGCACTACAGGCACGTGGTGCGTACCGTATACTGATACTTGACGCCGAACTTTAATTGAACCAACTGAAACTTTTGTAAAAATACCATCGTGTATTACACATTCTATACCGTAACATATATAACAGAACTGTGCAGAACAATAGTATTAATACTCACGCTAAAGCTTTTTGGTACTGTTTTGCTTTCTGATACTCAGTTGCCATTTGCACCATGAGCTGCTGCTTGATTCGAGGACATCGGTACCGCTGAAACTGGGCCATTGCTCGAGAGTACAGCGGGATAATCATTTCATGGTGCTGGACTTTAGTTAGTTCATGATACTGAATGGCCTCGACACCACAAGCCTCTCTCTCAGGCTCAGGTGGTTCCAAGCTGTGTTTGCCAGCTCTCCACGGGCGCTGTCCATATATTTCCAGGCTATCAATACCATCGAGCATGTGGTTGTGCTGGTCAGTAGCTGCCGAACAGAGGTGCAAGGCGGTTGTGCGTCGCAGCGAAGCAAATTGAGCTGCCTGTTGGTAATAGAATCCAGGATGCTGCGTTTGGACGGCAGGCAGTCCCTGCTGGACGGCGCTCTCAAAGAGCCACCCAAAAAGTTCGTACTGAGAAGCAAGCCACGCATAGTGCTCGAAAATCAGAGATTTGGGCCCCATGCGGGGCCGGAAAAGATCAATGTGACGCCGGAACTGAGCAATGGCGTCGCGAGGCAAGTTCAGGAGGAAGTTTACTCGACAAACCTGTAATATAGATATAAGTCAGGCAATGTACTAGATCGGGTGACAAGCAATATTTCTATTATACCGTAATGCAAATAAATATCACAGTCATAAATATTGTTGCATGATAGGAGTTCGATTTTAGAAATACCTTTGGCTTAAGATTGGGAATCACGCATGATAATTGCAATAAATTTCAGACTAATAGACTGTGATAAGACCTTATAATTGATGATGGCTGAGGATATCCTGATCTCGTGCAAATTAGTGTCAGTGAAGCGGAGCTCTGAGAGATGCTGGTAGCTTTGCTGATAAGCTCTGAAACAAAATAAATCTTCTGATTATTTCATCCACAAGAAAGTTTGGAGCCAATTACTGCCAAATACAAATGGCCATACTTTAAACGGGTAAAATCTCATTTAACATGATAAATAAATGCCATTCATGATAGAACTTCAAGGGAATTGTTAACAAATTTCTTCTTGAGACATTAACACAATAATTATGTTATAAAGAATATAATTATAGCGAGCTTGTTGCTCACTTGATGGCCGCCTGTAGGTCATTCTTCATCTCCAGCAGGAAGCCGGTCTTGAAACAGTGACGTACAAACAGCAGTTGATGGTTGGTCTTGTTGAGGAAGTCACGATGATTTCTAACAGTTTTGCTTTCACTCAAGTAAAAACCTCCAGCTATTTCTGATAAAGCTGCTTCCAACCTATTTAAGAGTGAAACAATGTTAAAATCTATGTACCGCCTGAAGATTTTGTTGTCTGCCCATGGCTGTCACATACAAGGCAGAAGAGCAGTTTTTGGATTTTTTTTCCAACATCTTCTAAGTAATCACACTTTACACCTCGAAAGAATGGATTAATAAATGCCTCTCTGAATTAAAATTCAGTTCATACGGTATCTACTTTCTATCCTAGCTCTTGATTTTGCTTTCTAAGATTGATAAATATTCATGCACTCTTAAATAGAATATATAACCAGACACAAAAAATTTTCCTTTCAATACAAAATTCATGTTGCATACAACCAAGGCTAGTCAAGGATAATTTCTACTATAAGAACTGTTTCCTTCATAATAAACAGATAGGTGCCATTAACAATAAGTCTTGAAACGTTGACCTTTGAGATGCTGTGAACTGTGATCCTATTCTTGTTACTAATGTTTCCTAAATATTCTTTTTCTAATCATTTATATTGCAGGTGAATTGAATCAGGCAATTACACCTAACTTTGAACAAAAATAAATTTCAATATTTGACTGTTACCACAAAATTTTCAATGTGATTACCTAGCAGTATAGCCTGGGATGAGCTGAGCATCGTTCAGTGGTAGCACAAAGAGATGTTTTGTGGGCAGGTCACATGATTCACACAAAATGCTTGCTCGTTCTCCACTCAGACTTGCATTTGTTTCAGTTTCTGAAAGAATAATACGTACACCTTAGAAAATTAATCCAATGAGCTGCCCACAGAGATCATGATCTTGGCATGCATAGATTATGAAAATTAGTGTGAAGATTTATAATAATGAAGGCAGTCAGACTCTTATATTTTAACCTCAGACAGTCAGACTCTTATATTTCATGTTGTGAATTTATTTGACACACCACTAAAAAATTAGATTACGGTAGTACTCACTGCAGTGAGTGACAGAGAGCGCATTTTCTTGTCCGTCTGTGACGTGAAGTCACGGACTGACAGACATGAGCACAATAGCGCCTTTTTTCAATAAATGAGAAAATGTGCTAAAAAGTATCCAAGTGACATATAAATTATTGCATTGTTCCAATTTCTCATGATCATATGAGTAGCCAAATCTCTATTGGTGATATCAGGAAGCTGACTGCAATGCAAGTTGTTACAATTCAGTATAAGTTCAGGTTAAATATTAATATAAAAAGATACAAGAGTTGTACATTAAATATAGATCAATCTATCACATCACATTTAGGAACTTAAAAAAGCTCAAATCTCAGTGTATTTCTAAGTGTTCAAGTTCCATAGAGCTCCTTGAATCTATACAAGTCATATTAATGGTGACTAGTTACCTGAATTAGGAGCATAGGGGGATGAAGAATCTGTTGCAGGAGACCCAGCAGCATTCTGGAGTAAAATCACAGCAACTCGGCAGTGACGTTCCCCAATAATAGCTCTGAAATTGGAGTACTACAATCAAAATGAACCATGAGTATGGTACTTCAAGAAATATACAAATATTATCACTTCTTGATTACAATTCTTCATATATTACATAAAAAAATTTAATGTAGAAATAAAAAAATTAACTCATTAAAGAGAAGCATGGATCATTTAAAATTTACTAATCTATTTCAAAATAACACAAATAATTTGATGGGGATCACAGGTGCACATGAAGGATCAAATCATTCAACTGGATTTTAAACGTCTAATCCTAACTAACTGTAAAACAACTATCAGCTAAGTGTACTCACTTTACAGATGAAACTATGTTTGCCAACTCATTTTTCTTATTGAGCCAATTTGAGTCACTCCAGTCAAGAGTGTAGAATATGGCAACGAGGGCAGGAATGTGGTGAAGATACTTAGCCATCCAGTTGCTCTTTAGGACCCCTTTAGGTGTATACCATTCATATGACTGGCGCTGAACATAAAAGCATCATTAACATCACACATACATATATGCAGTCAAAAATTTTAAAAATAATCATCCAGAATGTGAGATGATGTTTACTGTCTAAATCTAAATGTATATATACTGTTCCTAAATGAAGGGATAAACTATTGCAATTTAGAAATATAGTTAGCTCTAGCTCCATTAGTGCTTTCATTAATGAATGTTAATAAAACTTCAAAGAAGTATAAGGAACTAAAAATAATTGTCTGTATTAGTTCAAGACAGGCATGGAATATACAGTATCTACTTGGCAAGCCGGGACTGGATTTTTTGAGCCATCATTTTATGGGTTTGCCAGCAAAGATTCCTTCTTTGAGTCGTGATTCCATTTCTGCAAGCTGTGAATTCCATATCTTGGCCATGAAAAGCCATTTACAAACCGCAAACTTGTTTACGAAGTTGTGTGCATGTGTTACCCTAATCCCAAATATCTAATTTTACCCTAAAACAGTCCAATTGTACAGCAACACTAACATATGTCTTCACTAATCACTTAAGAGTCAAGTGCCAACTGAACATGTGATAATGCAGTCTGACCGCTCTGAGTCTCTGATGTGACCGCAACTATGCAATATTCAAGGAAACATTTTAAGTTGACTTGCTGTTATTACATTCTGCAGGATATTTTGGCAGGAGCATTGAATTAATGCGGATTGTAGAAGTTTAAAATGTTATAAAATGACATGTTTGCAAAGTGTAAAGTGTAAACCATGATTTTTTCAATCAAACAAAAATAGGTACATGACAGTTGAGCAAATTGAGCCTCAAGATTTCAGAAAAAATACGATTTTTCCCGACCTGGTTCAAGCCAGAAATTGGTATCTAATAACTTTATCAGCAATAGACTTACCTTAGTTTTCATGGGTGGCAGAGAAAAGTCATTAATGTTGGTCAGCTTGAAATTAATCAGAGTTTGCAGTGCAGGTTTTGACTGAAGGTTGAGTGCCTCCCAGATGATAGCATGATTTGGATTATTGGATGGCTCAAGACCTGCAAAAATCAAATTAGATCCAAAACAAGATTCAAGACTAATTATAATTCAATTACATCCCAACTGCCCAACAGACTACACTATACCTACAGGACAGTCAGGACCTAAAAATAATATACCTAATAACAGAACACAGAATAACACAGATCAAGTCCAAGCACTTTTTCCTAATATTTCATAAACCTTTTTAGTTAAAAAGTATGCAATTGAATTAGCTTTATCCTTTAGCTATAATTATTGCACAGCTTCCATTTTTCAAAAATACACATATTAGGCTAGGATATATATTTTTTATAATAGATAAATATAGATTACATTTTATTACTATTAATTGCATGATACAAAAGGTTTAGAGAACAGTATTAGTTAAAATATTACTCATTAGTTGCTTAGCCTACATGCCACTTCTGAAAAAATTGTCTATTATTTACAAATTAGGTACAAAGTATACTCTAATATAATACTCAGTCAGTCAGTCTCAGTACTCACCCATAACAAACGCAAGGCTACTGCATTGCGCTATCGTATCTTTTGGAATTCCATAAAGATTGTATTCACTACCTTCCAACACTTCCATATCGCCCAAGCCAACGCCTACAATCGGCATCGGCCTATGTCATAATATGAAGAGACAGATAGCCAACGAACAATTTTTATGCCGGAATGACAATGACAATCCGCTTTCCGCATATTTGCCAATCCAAGCATTTTGTTTCTTCAAAGTCTGAAAGGATTAAAAAATCGATTCTTTTCTAAGTATATTCGTGTACAATGAGAAAACAAGATTATAACTGAATCAATAAGGACTTGGTAATCGGATTGCTTATAATCACAGATTTATTGATGAAAAAGTGAATTTATGTTTAAGGTTGAAGATCTTTTAACCTAAATTTTCATAAAATCCAGAAGGTAAGAGACTATGCACACGATTAAATTGATATACTGCTTGGTCTGTCCGCAAATTACTAATATTATCTACTTATATTTCTGAGTTCGCTGAAGTGTCGATCCGGTTCATAAAATCCAGAATGTTAGAGACTCTGCACACGATTAAATTTATATACTGCTTGGTCAGGGGATGAACCCCTTCAAATATTTCTAACGAAGGAAGAATGCCGTTTTGGATGCAGGAGCAGAATAGAACCGAGTTCAATCAATCATTGATATTTATTAAAACAATTATAAAGAGAAACGAAGAATTCAAAATTTGCTGATAAACGAAATTATATTCAAATTTGGAAACTAAAACTCGGATAAAATTATAGTTGATGTAATGCCCTTCTCAAGTTCGGATATATGTTCGTTCGTTTCTGAAACATACTCGGTAGCATAAATTTTAATAACTGCGGAATTGAAAATTAAATGCACGTATTGCAGTAGAAAAAAATATCATCTAGTTCTATTTTAAGACTTTTTGTACTTAGTAAGAAGCTCATTTAATTTCCTCTTGACGTCTTCCACGTCAGAGCGCAATGTTTCTAGGCCTGCCACTTGTTTCATTTGCTTCTTGATGGTATCCGTGACGATTTTGAAAGCTTTTGAAATGCGCTCGTAGCCACCGAGAGGAAAGCCATCTGCACAAGTGTATCCTTTATCAGTATTTAAATTTGGGGGAGTCAGTTTGTCTGATGGAAATGAGTATCCTTGTCCCGATGAAGCCGGATATCTTTGCACAGATGAAGATGGGTACACCTGTCCTGATACGGGTGGATACCCTGGCACAGATGAAGGTGGGTACACCTGTCCCGATACGGGTTGATACCCTTGCACAGATGAAGGTGGGTACACCTGACCCGCTACGGGTGGATACCCTTGCACAGATGAAGGTGGGTACACCTGACCCGCTACGGGTGGATACCCTTGCACAGATGACAGCGGGTAACCGTTCAACGATGGAGGTGGATGCACGTAATACGATTGAGGAACCGTTTGCGATGGCGGATATCTATCTGGATAGTACGGAGCGTTGCCAGCGGATGAAGAGTAGCCGTCGGACCTGGGTTCCGTTTCACCCGAGGAGGGCGCCACGATGCGACCATCAGCATCGCTGGCTGTGACCGAGGAGATTGTTTTGCCCGAATCTGGATCCCGACGAAACTCCGGTATAAAGGCTTGTGATATCTTTGTTGACGAATTCTGGTTAACTGGGTACGAAGAATTGGTCGAAATATTATAATCAAAATTCGTAGAATTTGGAATATACGGTTCTCTTCTGCTGCGTATATGTTCTATCGTATAGTTTATTGGACTTGGCATCTTTGAGTTTCCGTGATCATGCACGTTTGAGCTATGAAAATCTGAAACGAAGGTAAAAATAATCGTTCATAAATGTTGTAGGAAGTGGTACGTGAATGATAAACCTATAGATATCCTCACCACACAAATTAAAACAAATTCTTAGGCTCCTGTGTAGTAAACGATATTTAATTAATTTCAATTTTATCAGTATCTGCTTACCGATCTTTACCGGAGCTCCCAGTACCGAGGCGGCTGTGAAACATGCTAGCGTCAGAAGGAAGTTCATGTTAACTTCCGTATTAACTTTAGCCGAAAAAGTTCCACCGTGACATCCAAGTCTTTAATTTGTTACGAATGGATCTGTAATCGAGATTAATTCGTCAATCAAGTCGTGCGCAATACAATGACAAACTCCCAAATCGGTTAAGAGTTTCTTTAAATTTAGTCGGCGAAACTTAGGTCGTCGATGCTTGAACTAAACAAGTTGAAGCTTCTCTACAAATACTGAACTTGGTTAGCTAATGCAATTGATATCACTAAACAAATCTAGTGGAGATCGCTCGGCAATTCAGACACATCTTTTGTTTAATAGTCCTATGTGAGTAACACTTTATGAATATAACTATACATACATATATTGCCACTGAGAGACCAAACTAAATTGAAAAAAATGACCACTTATTCAATAGTCCTAACTTTATTCCACTGAGGGATACGAGCTATTTACACGATTTGAAAGAACTGTCGGTGTTGACCAATGACCTTAAATTTAAGGTTACAAAGCATGACTAATAAATTTTAATGAACAAATAAATAGTACCATAGTAGGCGAAGACATAACTGACCACAATCCAAATGTTCCGAAGCATTTATTTAGCATCAAAAATACTTCATAGAGAGTGCTACATCAGCTAGATCCTTACTTGAGACAATTGACAAGACAGGCAAGCAAGTTAAAATACGTGCGACTTCGAAGACCACAAGTAAATTAGGTTTATAAACATTCCACTTCTATGAGAATTTTTCTGCATAAATAAACGATTACTTAATTCGAGTTTCAGCTGAAAATCAACAGTGGAACGACCAATTACTAAATTTGGAGCAAGTTGATGTAGTAACTATTTAACCGGATATAAATTTTAACAGGTATTGCTGTGAATGATACTGGAGTTGCTCGAACCATTACACGAAATCTCCATGAATCTTCAATCACGTTCAAGAGAGTTGAAGAAATCCTAGACTACTTATTATTACATGAAGATCGCATCCACCAATCCTACGGAACTATACCTGTCTACTATAAACATTGAAAATACTGCAACGAACAATGATGAATAATTATTAACCAACAACACTAATTGAAATCTAGGTACACCTACTCAAGAAGCAGCCAACACGGCTAGAAACACAAATAAAATACGCGTTTACAAGCTAAAAACTTAAGACACGGATGTACGCCACCTGCCGCTAACACTTTCAATAAATGACGATCTGTATTTTGGTCAATGTTTAGATTTCAGGAACTGCGGACGAATTATTTATCACGTATTTATACATAAATCGTTCTCTGAATCTAAATCTTTGTCGTGATGAAACTTTTTTAACTGACTCAGTTTTTGCAGATAGACATAACACTTGTACTGTGCTGATAACATTTATTGATTTACCCGCAATGATATATCATGGTGCGGATCGAAATGGCTTGTGTTAAGGTCCTAACCATGGAGATCTCCAAAAAATCCTCCTGAAGCGTTAACTTGATGTACGCGCTAGGCTCAGAGTTAAAAAAGTATTGCTGCTTGGTTTAATTCTTAATTTGTGATATGTCTGCAACTTGGTCCTCGAAGAAAACTTAATTAGCTCTTACAGAGCTTAGAATGCTTGTTAATTAAGCAGTTTTGCAATAACAGTAACAGGACACAATTCGCAGCCACACGATGCAAGTAAACGACAAAAGATTGTCCAACAGCCTTTTTTCATGCCTCTTTACATTGTTTGAGAACGAACTATATCTGTATCCAAATTTCAGTTAATATGAGCCAAACGATCCAGGCCAATGTCCCAAACTTCAACCCCGACACCGAAGTTCCCCCGCAGGTATATCTCCTCTGGCACGCAAGTCGCCGATGCTCGGTATGGGAGAGCGTAGCCGACACCTTCTTCAGGAAGAGAGCGTCGTTGAGATCACAAGTGTTACCCGCAGCTTCGTCTACGCAGTCAAGGAATCTTTGGCGGAGGCTTGCGTGGAAAATAAAATGGAAGTTGTGACAATTTTTGCATTGAATCAGCATTGTCATACATTTCATAAATGCTTTGCTTCATATTTGATTTGCATGAAATTGGTCCATGCTGCGTTAGTCATTGAGTAAAATTTTCGTTTTAAGCGATTTATTTTAGCGTACTTATAACTTCAAAAACATCAGTAAACTTTCACCTCAACCGATTTAGCAATACGAGGTATTACAACAACAAATCGCTCAGATAACGCTAAAAATTAGTTTAATCAAGATTTTACCGAAATGAATATTCAACAGCAGTGTCTTTCGATAGAACTAGTATGGAGCTTCTCACCAGCAAATGGCGTCCAGGTTTGCTTCCTCAGACGTTACGCGGAGTTCTAACGTAAGCAGATATTGGTAATGGCGGTAGCACGCCTCCCACCGCCGGCCCACTGCCTTCATACACACCCCGTGCGACAAGTAGTCTGGGGGAGGAATAATTTACAGTATACCTTAAGATCCTTCCATGGTAACATATATCCAGTAAGTAGTCTGGGGGAGGAATAATTTACAGTATACCTTAAGATCCTTTCAAGGTAACATGTATCCAGAGTTCGTTTAAGGACACCAACCCAAGGTCATGCTGGGAGCACCACCTTTTCACGGCTGCCAAGTGCCGTCCACAGGTGACACCGAGAAATGAACTTAGCCAGGGCTCGAACCCACGACTAGCTCATCACATCTCGGTGCTGCCATCACTACGCTACAGTGACTTTTACATGACAACTTCACATGGAATCTAGGTTTCCAACAAACAACCGTGGCAACTTCATAACTTGAATTAGTTGCATAGGTACTTTCAGAAGCTATTGCTCTATAGGCTGTGGAACATGCGTTACCGTAAACCATCAGAGTAACGTAATTTTCTCAATTTCTTTGCCCTGAAGGATGAATACATTGACATCGTATTTAATCGTATCATATTAAATGTACTCCTTTCGTATTAAATGTACATCGTATTGACATCGCCCGTGAAACTTCCGATCATTGAAGTTAAGTGTTCTTAATTAATTCATATCATCGTATATACGGACTTACGACCATCGCAGGGACGTATTCTCTCAGTTCACCTGATCGGAAGCGCGGGTCTTCACAAAGCCCCGCCTGGAGGAGGCGGGCGCCGCTGATGTTCTCCTCCAGCATGTGCACGCACTGCGTGAACAGGGATATTGTGACTATGCATACGCTGCGCTGGAACAGGGATATTGTGTCCGTGCACGCACTGCGTGAACAGGGATATTGTGACTATGCATACGCTGCGCTGGAACAGGGATATTGTGTCCGTGCACGCAATGCGTGAACTGGGATATTGTGGTCGTGCACGCACTGCGTGAACAGGGTTATTGTAACTATGCATGCGCTGTGCTGGAACAGGAATATTGTGTCCGTGCACGCAATGCGTGAACTGGGATATTGTGACTATGCATACGCTAAGCGGGAACAGGGATATTATGTCCGTGAACGCGCTGCGTAGGAACTGGGATATTGTGCCCGTGAACTTGGTGCGTGGGAACAGGGATAGTGTGATCATAATATAATAGCGGTTTCAGCGTTTAGTAGGCCGTAGGCCTGTCGCCGATTCTTAACGTCGCAGAACATGGGTACAGGGATATTGTGTCCGTGAACGCGCTGCGTGGGTACAGGGATATTGTGTCTATGAAAACGCTGCGTGGGTACAGGGAAGTTGTGTCCGTGAACGCGCTGCGTGGGAACAGGGATATTGTGTCCATGAACGCGCTGCGTGGGTACAGGGATATTGTGTCTATGAAAACGCTGCGTGGGTACAGGGAAATTGTGTCCGTGAACGCGCTGCGTGGGAACAGGGATATTGAGTCCGTGAACGCGCTGCGTGGGAACAGGGATATTGTGTCCATGAACGCGCTGCGTGGGAACAGGGATATTGTGTCCGTGAACGCGCTGCGTGGGTAAAGGGAAATTGTGTCCGTGAACGCGCTGCGTGGGAACAGGGATTTTGTGTCCATGAACGCGCTGCGTGGGAACAGGGATATTGTGTCCATGAACGCGCTGCGTGGAAACAGGGATATTGTGTCCATGAACGCGCTGCGTGGGAACAGGGATAGTGTGTCCGTGAACGCGCTGCGTGGGTACAGGGAAATTGTGTCCATGAACGCGCTGCGTGGGTACAGGGAAATTGTGTCCATGAACGCGCTGCGTGGGTACAGGGAAATTGTGTCCATGAACGCGCTGCGTAGGTAGAGGGAAATTGTGTCCGCTGCGTGGGCTTGGCACTCGGGACTTCGGCGGCGAAGACGACTTGCCTGTCCTGGTCTAAGGGCAGCGGAATACTGAGGAGGCCACGGTTGAAGTTGAACTAGTATAAGGTTGACCCACGAGAAGCTTAATTTTGCGGATGTAGTTTGATGTTCGCCTGTGACGTCACTGATCTCAGTGACGTCACAGGCATTAACCAATCGCCGAAATGCGATCAAACCAGTTAACCAATCCGTCATGGGAATGATGGGAAATCCGTCATGGGAAAGCTGAACTGAAAGACGGAATTTCTAGTGGGCAACCTTATACGTATAGTTCAACTATGGAGGAGGCGCTCTTGCGTGGCCTGGGGCTGCTACGCCCGAAACATTTACTAGGGATACTAAGTATCCCTAGTAACATTTTATCACCCATAGTGGAAACATTATTATTATGTCCCTGGGTCACTGAACAGAAACTGTCTCTTCAAACGCGCTAAAATAGAGCCAATAAAATTTTAAACTAGTCCATGAAAATAAGTCGCGGAAATAGTACCCACGAACATGCTAATAGAATTGTGGAAATCGTGTCAGTGAACATGCTCATTAAAATTTATGGAAATTGCGTTTATGAAGATGCTAATATATAGAGTGAAAATCGAGTTTACTTAGAAGTAATTTAAAGATGAAATCGTATTCATATAATAACATGCTAATAAAAGTCATGAAAAAAGTTAGTTAATATATGAACGAGAGGCCACTGAAACATATTTTATTTTCAAGACATTTGTAAGATCCATCATGGAAATATGACAGGCGTATTTTGGTAGTAATAATTAACCATGGACTAATAATAATTAAACCTGGACTGGTAATAATTACCCTGGAATAATAATAAATAACCTGGACTTTCTATTGAAGTAATTATCAATCCAATAATGTTCTGATATTGATGCAAGGAAGGTTTTGACAGACTATAAAAATAACTTTTCAATGTGCAGCATCACAGCGTATCGGTAATTTTAATCTCACGTGGAAAATTTTTTAATTAATCCAGGACATTTATTTATTTATTTGCCCTCGAATATTTCTCTGAACAGTCACTTATATAAGCTTGTATATCATAAATTTGAAATCATTCTAGGAAAATTTCAACAAACTTCAATTAAGAAGCTGCCTATTTTGCTCCCCTTGCAATTAAATCTTTTAATGCATTTCGCTATCACGCTTCCTCACTCAATATGAAGTGATCCGAGCTCAGTTAATCGCCTGAAATGGTCGAGCTTGGCTCACTTCATCCTTTAAAAACAACCTTTCTTTCAGACATAATGATTTTTACAAATTTCATAGCTGCTCTTTAGATAATGGTTTTTCTAATTTTATATTTGATTGAAGAGCTTAAGGGATGTTCATATTGGCCACATATCTTATGCAACTTATTTTTAAATCGACATTATTCAATCAGAAGTTAACCTAATTATTGTTATTTTTGAGGGCATATCAACGTAGGAACTCGATGAGCTTCTAAGAAATCATTCCTTCATGCTATCTTAGTTCATTTGTTGATTTGTTCGGGAGTTTGTTGGAGTTCATTTGTTGATTTGTTGTTCCTTCATGATTTGTTAGTTCTGGAGTTTCATTTTAGATTGACGCTAAATTAATCGTCTCAATAATATTACTGTACCTGTGAAAATATTCGTCTGTGCGTATTTGTGAAAAGAATGGTTCAAGCTGGTACCAACACATGTAGGTAATTAAATAGTTCTACTCTAACGCAAAATTCTGTATTGGAACACTGTTCTATGCATGAAATCTACTAATACTACCAATGCAAAGTAGTATTGATAGATTTCTAACAGCCAAAAATAAATCTGCTATTTCTATAATATTTCTTTCATTTTGATTCTGATAATCAACTGAGTTTTTAGCTGTATATAGCATATAAATATCAAAACGAACGTAAGCCGTAATATCAAAGGGATGAAAAAATGTGCAGAAAGATTCACTCCCTGAGCAAATGGTTAACTGCAACGGCATCATCTTTTACTAAGGTTGAAAATATTTTCACATTCTTTAAAAATTATTTTACGTTTGAGAATTCGATGTAACGTTTTTAATATTATTAAATGCATTGATTCCATCTTAAAAAATCAAGCTTTTCGTAAATCATCAATGGGTATAATTTTAGGGTAACTGGACTCACTGGCACATCTGGTCCAGCTGGATGCTCGTGTAGGGCAGCGTCTGGAGCGCTGGAGTGCTGGACATCGCATGCGACAGACATGCGTCCAGCATAGATCTGGACTGGCAGGCCTCGGCTATAGTTTGGTTGTCGTCTTGGGTAACTGGCTCCATGAGCGAGATGTTTTGACCTGTGTGAGAAAAGAACTTCTTGATAAAAGTGGCAGAGGAAAATTTTTATAATTTGTCGAATGGCAACGAAGGGTTTTATTTCATTTTTGGGAATAAATTATTATTCATAATCATATATGAAAATATATTATTCATTTTATTTTTGAGAATAAACTATTTATTTATTTTTCATTCACATTATGAATGGGAATTTCATCGAAATCAAAATTTCATGATGGGATAGTTTAATTTTAATCTAGTCCCGAATATTTGTACACCTATAAGTCATTGAGGGCAAGGTTTCCGCTTTTAAAAAATTTGATAACTTTTATAAATGGTTTTCTGCATGAATTTTGATTTCATGGTTTGAGGTTTGAGTATTCGAAGCAAATTTGGTCGTTCAACATTTTCCAAATTGAATTTTGTCATTTAATACGTTTATCCAAACTGGAGAAAAGAATTTTGAAGTTACACAGTAAAATCCTCAAAATGAATGACGAAATTTATTCGAACTTAATTTGGAGTGTTGTATAAATATTTCGATTGCTGTAAAAAAAGTAAATTTGAACCTTATTTCTTTAAATTAAATGCCTTTCAATGAAAGCCAAACGCTCAATTTCACGAGCTACTCTAGCCTTCTGGCACAGACCCCAATAAATTTAAGGGTGTGGCAAATATTGCACTACATAGGAAATTATTAAAACATTAATTAAATTATGTCATGTTCGTTAAGTAGTAAAATCTGTCTTCAAAGGCCCACAAAAAATGTCAACGTACAAGTATAACTATTATTTTTCAAACGTGGAGAAGAACCTTCATCGTAACCCACACACGAGTCCATCGTCTTTAGATAAAAAAATCTTGCGAAGTTTTTCTCATCAAGCGTTACTGCATGTGAATAAAAAGCTTACTTGCATTGCGCTGGGAAAGACGAGTGAAATTACCTCCATAATACAATTCTATTTTCAATAGCAGGAACGTATTTTTCTTGACATTGCCTTGAATTTTTTTATGATACGCATGTCGTAAAGAACAATTATCTTTAACTGATGTCATCTCACAAAACTACTGAACTACATCAGAAATTGTTACAGTAATATAATTAAGTTGAAATTTAAGTGCTCTTTCGTTACGATTAATCAATTAGGTTAATCGTCACAGCTAGTAACGATTAATCAATTAAAGCTAAAGTTTTTAGTTTTCGGTTACCACTTGCCCAAAACCTATATTTCCATCCAAGTATATCTACAAATATACTGCAGTAAACTTAAAGTTGAATGGTGGTCAAGATATGAAGAATATTTTGTTTAATAACGACGTAAAGTAATATTTTATGAATAGATTGAAGAGATAGCTACGAATCTATTTATTTATAAATGCTATGCGAATTTTATGCACCACCGAAGTGAAATACTGCTAACCATAACTTCAAGTTCAACTAGATATTCATTCTAGCTGAAGTTGTTTTAGCTACTCACGCTATGTGCTGATGAACTCACCGGTGACATATATCACAGCGGAAATAAGATGCAAAATTTTAACTTCTGCCGTTTTTAGAGAGGATGATGACATTTTCAACATCATTCTGATGATCTTGGGTGCTACGATGATATTGAATTAAGCTTAACAAGCTTTCTGGACAAGGTCCAGAAAGCAACTAAAAATTCGGGTGTTAAAAAATCTGTCAGATTATACACGAGGAAATATAATCAAAATAAGCAATATTCTTTTAATAACAACCTGGAAGTAGCGGGAATTTCATTTAAAATCTTACGGATTCAGGCTTAGAAGTTAGAGTCCTTCACTTACTATATTATTAAAGCATAATTCTTGGTTAGCACATAGATATCCATTGAATAATTTCGGAACGGTTGCATTAAAGTGGTACAAACACCCACTTATTTTTTGCACAATAGTAAAAGTCACAAAAATGCGGAATAAGAACAAACTCCTGAATTATAATGCCCATATGATTGTATGAGGAAAATAAAGTATGTAAAACAGTGGAACACTAGAAAGAGGAACGCCAGACCCAGGAGAGAGAGCTACGACCGCTGAAGACGGAGTCAGTATCCGTTGTGACCGCCTATATGGAGCAGACTTGTGGCTTTAAGTAATTTTGTTCATAATAATGGGCTGCATTAGAGAAAAAACTAGAAAAAATCTAAATTGAATGAATGAAGTTAAGATAAAATCAAAATGATTCATTTTATAGCTATGTATTAGGACGTAAACTATAGTATAGTATCTTCGGAATTGAGGAATAGGCCTGTCGCCTTTCCAACTTATATATGCGTGCGATTATAAATCCTAGGCTAGTAGCTGTAATGCATTCGTGTCTCAGTATTATTTTATTAATCAGATTTAATTGTGATCTGAATAAAATTGGTTTATATCAAAATAATGTTAATTAAAAATGAACAGATAGTAACAATCATGGTAGAAATGAACTTGTTTTTTCGTATACAGCATGAATATGGAAGGTCATTGTTTGCCAATTATATGATTGAAAAGTATATTACGCGGTTGAAATAATTTTTCTTCATTTTATAATAATTCGAAATTGTTTAATTTATTGAGACAATCTAGAGGTGTTTAAGAAATGAACTTGTTTTTTCGTGTACAGCATGAATATTGAAGGGCATTGTTTGCCAATTATATGATTGGAAAGAATATTACGCGGTTGAAATAATTTTTCTTCATTTTATAATAATTCGAAATTGTTTAATTTATTGAGACAATCTAGAGGTGTTTAAAAAATTGACTGGTTTTTCGGCGCACTCACGCAAGTAGCTTCTTGTCTGGAGCTAAAGTTCATCGTGTTGTCATTGCAAACCGCTTCTCCTGCCGTATCGTTGCCAACTTGCCGCTTGCAACTTGCGTACTTCGGTGTCTAATCTGTCTACGTCTAGTAGCGTTTGTATAAACTAAGCACAATGACGAAGGACGAAGACATCGATGAAGTCCACACAGGATTTCAATTCGATAACCTGGCAAGGTAAAAGTTGAAATTTATCTTATTGTCGATAAACTGCTGGTACTGGAGCATGGAGAAATGTTGAAAAATTGCACTGCAAATATGCTGTCAGTTGATCAGTATGTATTTGTATCACTGCCATAAAAATTGTAGAGTACCTACCTAATTATACTGTTAGTGTTAAGCATCAACTAACTTTACTGCCTATTAAGCTGCCACAACAAGAGCACTGACTGACTGACTGTCACTGACACCATTGGGGGTGATTGGCGTTGGTCTACTAAAAGCTTTCTGATTCATAATCTAGGTAGGCTTACTAGGCTATGTAGCTATTTCATTAAAAATTTCAGATTTAATATGATTACCTATGAGGTTAGGTAGTATGAATGATGCATTAAATTTCAAAGTTCATATCTTATACAGGCATGGAAATTGGAATATTGGAATTGGAATACTTGGCGAGCCGCGACTGAATTTTTTGAGCCGTCGTTTTATGGATTTGCGAGCTGTGATTCCATTTCTTTGAGCCATGAATTCCATATCTTGGCCATGAAAAGCCATTTACAAGGTGGGAATTTATTTACAAAGTCCATGCACGTGTTACCCCCAAATCTCTAATTTTACCCTAAAACAGTCAAACAGCAACAACAAAATTTGTCTTTACTGTAATTTGAACACGTGTTAATGTAGTCTGAACTCTGACCGCTTTGACATGATCGCAACTATGTGCGATCTTCAACAAAATGTTTAGTGGTTTTGTTTACATTACGATGTTTACGTTTTTTTTGCCGGATATTTTGGCAGGAACGGTAAAGCAATGCGGATTGCAGAAGTTAAAAATTTTATGAAATGACATGTTTGTGAAGTGCAAACTGCGATTTTTCAATCAAACAAAAATTTATGACATTCGAGCCGCGAGATTTCATACCTACTGAAAATTCATGGTGGCAGGGAATTATTGTGAGTACTTATGGGTTTGCAAGAGCATCGCCCGGTCCGGCTCAGCAGGGGGGGGGGTAGGAAGGGAATAACGAAAGTCTCATTTACGACTGGACTAACCCATTGAGCTTTTGTGTGAAATCGAAAACTTTGTGGGTGATGTCCAATCGTGAGAATTTTTTACGAAGCTGAATGTGTTTTTTTTTTATTTTAAAACGTATTCATTGCAAAAATGTGTCCGATAGCCTACAGATAAACGACAAGTTAACTTGATTAGTCGTTGGCAACAACGGATTGGATTTCAAACCACGCGCGATTTTCAAATGAGCTCAGTTCGTCAATTTTCATTGCAGTGGAAGGTGGTGTAACGCGGTGGTATGGTTGGTATTTTGATATGTTTTCTTATATTGACATGAGAATATATTACCTATACAGAATTCCATACTGTTTGCCACTATGCCTAATTATACTGTTAGGCGTTAACTAACTTTAGTGTAAAATTAAGCTGCCATAACAAATCCTATGATGCATTCAATTTCAAAGTTTAAATCTTACAAATGACATTGAACTTTTGACCAGTCCGTTTGGAATATTGGGCAGAATTTTCCTGAAATCAGGGGTAAAAGCAATAGAGTAAACACACTATATTTCAACACCTTAAGGACTTGGCAAGAAATAAATGGCTATAATTTAAAAATAGATCACCGTATTGGCATGTGGGCAACTCGAGTTCTGATTGGTTTACATCACTCACAGTCTCACAAAACACTACACTATGTGCCATGGTGCCAGCAATGATGAAACATCACAAACTGTTGCCATATTTATTTGAAAGCCTTTAGAATTCAAATTTACAAAATTGCTGAATTCCAACTCTGTGTGTGATGAGGTAAATGTGGCATATTGTGAGACTAATTCCGACAGTGCTTCAAAATCATAATTCATAATTCTGACACCCTGTGTGAGCTGTGTCAGAACACAACACCCTGGGCCACAGCTGCGCATCATAGCCTAATTCCAACACCGTATCGTGTGTCGGAATTAGTTTTTTACGTGTCTAAAACCGTCTTTTTAATCAATCATCTATTAATTTAATTACAACTTGAAATCAGCAAATACAAGAATTCTTGAAGGATTTCTAATATATTCACAGACTTATTTAAAAGTCTTTAACCATAATATTCTTTCTATACAAACAGTTTATCACTATTTAGTAAAGCAATGCCAACTATCAACTTTGATACGCGTTTCGATGTTCTCACTAGCTGACTTGGACTTTTGCTTTGCTGATCTTGACATTTTCCCGCTAGACCTAGTGTTTTGTGGAAATCCGGAAATCTGGCACGCAATAGTATGGCATCACTATTTCAACCATCTACACATGCATGATGCATGGAACTTAAGACCAAGCTAAGGCAAGCTTAATATAAAGGGAAAAAGTTGAGGGGTATTGGAATTACCCACAGTGTTGGAATATGGTGCGTTTACCCTAGTTTCAGCTCTCAGGGGTGATTTTAAAAAATTGTTGGTAAAGTAAGCTGTTAACCTGTTTCTTTTATTTTACCTGCAATTTTTTAGATTGCCTGTCACTCTCTGTCAGGCATGGAATATATCTACTTGGCGAGCCGTGACTGAATTTTTCGAGCCGTGGTTTTATGGTTTTGCCAGCCAGGATTCCTTTTCTTCAATTCATGATTCCATTTTTTTGAGCCGTGAATTTCATATCTTGGATATGAAAAGCCATTTATGAGCTGCAAAATTACTTACTAAGTCCATGCAGGCATGCACCGTGCATGTGTTACCCCAAATCTCTAATTTTACCAGGGCTAAAACAGTCAAATGGCAATAATAAAATTTGGCTAGACCAGTGACTCCGGGATTGGGCGCTGGGCAACAACAACTGTAAGCTGAACATGTGTTATGCAGTCTGACTGCTCTGACATGACAGCAACTATGTGTGATCATCAACAAAACATGAAAATTTTATGAAATGACATGTTTGCAAAGTGCAAACCACTATTTTTTCAATCGATCAAAAATACAAGACAGTAGAGCCACAAGATTTCATAGGGTAAATGCACCATATTCCAACACTGGGTAATTCTGACACCCCACAACCTTTTCCTTCATATTAAGCTTGGTATTATTTCCATGCATGCATAGATGGTTGAAATAGTGACATCATACTATTGCGCGCCAAATTCCTGCAAAACACTAGGTCTAGCGGAAAATGTTGAGATCTGCAGAGCGAAAGTCCCAAGTCAGCTAGTGAGAACATCAAAACGTGTATGAAAGTTGATAGTTGACCTTGCTTTACTAAATGGTGATAAACTGTTTGTGTAGCAAGAATATTATGGTTTGAGACTTTTAAATAAGTCTGAATATATTAAAAATCCTTCAAGTATACATGTATTTGCTGATTTCAAGTGGTAAATAAATGAATAGATGATTGATGTGAGAGATGGTTTTAGACACATAAAAACTAATTATGACACAGGGTGTCGGAATTACGAATTGCAATTTTGAAGAGCTGTCGGAATAAGTCTCACAATATGCCGCATTCAGTCACACACAGTCTCAGAATTCAGAAATTTTGAAGATTTGAATTCTAAAGGCCTTTTAATAAATATGTCAACAGTTTATGACATTTCATCATTGCTGGTGCATAATGTGGTGTTTTGAGTCATTTCAAATCATATAGTGACGTAAACCAATCAGAAATCAAGTTGTGGATACGGTGATCTATTTATAGTAATTTTTTTGCCACATCCTTAACCCATTAGCAGGCAAGCATTGAAATATCCAGAAATTAAAATTTCAGAAACCATTTCAAGAAAGTAAGAAGTATTATACAATATATTTATTTATATGAATTTTTTGCAAATTTTGCCTATTGAAGGTTTAAATCACACTTGAAGAATTCAATAAATGTGGTTAAGGTGTTGGAATGTGGTGTGTTCACTCTACCTACTGAAATTATCTGATGGTAGAGCCATAATATTTAAAAAAAGTAGGACTTTTCTTGACCTGTTGCCTGTGATATGATCATTTTTAACTGCAATTTCAAGAAACTTCTGTCCTACATTCAAAATTGACAGTGGTGCACAGTTTGTATCAAATGAAAATTTTCTTTCTTATGAATAAAATTTCCTGGCTTCAAGCCTCCCAAGTCCAGGGCTGGAAAAGTCCTACTTTTTTCTGAACTATCATGGCTCTGATATCATAGAATTTTAGTAGGTATGATATCTTGCAGCTCTAATGTCATGTAATTTTTGTTTGATTGAAAAAATTGTGGTTCCACAAATTTTCAACTTGCACAATCTGCAGTACTTTAACAATCCTGCCAAAATATCCTGATTCCTGCTGAACGTAATATAGCAAGTCAACCCAGAACATTTATTTGAAGATTGCATAGTTATGGTCATGTCAGAGCAGTCAAACTGCATTATCACATGTCCAGTTGCCACTAAGTGAAGACAAATGTTAGTGTTACTGTTTGACTGCTTTTAGGGTAAAGTTAGAGATTTGGGAATTGATATCACTTATTTGCTTAAATCGCAAGTTAACAAAGAATTCAAAAGCAAAAAATAGTCCACACAAATTCATATCTTTATAGAAAACATTTCGGAGTCCAGCTCCATCGTCAGTTTGTAGAATCTAGAATTAAGTTAAGTCACAAGTTAATACAATTAAAGTTAATACAATTCCAGTTTTCTATAAAGATATGAAGTTTTGTGGATTATTCTTTGCTTTTAAATTTTCAGAGATTTAGGGTACGTAACACGTGCATGAGACTTAGTAAATAAGTTTGCAGCTTGTAAATGGCTTTTCATGGCCAAGATATGAAATTAATGGCTTTTATGGCCAAGATATGGAATTAAAGGCTCAAAGAAATGGAATCATGGCTGGCAAACCTATGAAACCACGACTTGAAAGATCCAGTCGCCGCTCGCCAAGTAGATATATTCCATGCCTGGCTCCAACGTGACAAACTTTCTCTACATTTGGAATCTTGTGGGAGTTGTGGCCTGATTGTAGACTTTTGTTAACAATTGGCCTGAATTAGATAGGAGGTAATTCAGCCAGCAGCAATCTTGTGAATCTGAAATTATTTGGAAAACTCCAAATGTTTTAAGTACATATATCAAGCGTTACCATTGTAGTTCAAGATAAAATGACTGAAACTTGAAAAGTAAATGCTCTATGGCAGAGTTGTAACTGAACCATGGAATTGAAATATTATTCAATCAAAGTACCTACCGTATGTACTGTACTACTGCACATGTTGTGGTAGTTTTGATCAAACCTAAATACAGGACTTATGACCTGGCTGGCATGGAATATATCTACTATTTGAGCAGCAACTAGAGCTTTCTTAGTATTTTTGCAGCCACGAGACCATGCTAGATGAATTATCTCTTATTTAATTGGTAATGAAACTACACTATTGGATCACAAGTTTCCACATAGGTATACTATAATAAATTAGTCATTTCGGAGCTGCAAGATTTCATCCATAAGTAGGATATTTTCAATTCTTCATATACCTGCCTGCCAAATCAAAAAATTGAGTGATATTGCCAGCCTTGATATTTCATCAAGAAGTATAATTTTTCTCAATTTGCTATTCTCAAACTGCAATATTGCTTTAGAAGCCACCTCTTGGCTTCTAAAGCCACAATTGTGCTTGCAGACCATTTCATCAGTTTCTACGGCCTTTGCCTAATTTATTTTGTGGAAATAAGATAAATGGCACGTTAATGCTCATAATTTTCTGAAAATCACCATTAAAATAAGTTTTTTACCTGTAATTTTTTTTAATTCCGCCCATGACAGATTTTCCAGATTTGGCTTGCTTCATCTTTGGTGCTAGCTTACCCCTGTATCAACTAGGATGTTGAGCATGGTGATGCTAAAGAGACATACAATGTCAGGCTTTTATTTCAGATGTCTGTCTTCTATTTATTTTGGTGAAATGTGAGGTGGTGAAGTTTGAGAGGGGGCAAAAAGTTACCAGATAGGTACTTGTACTATGTTGGACTGGTTGACCTGAAACCAGGCATGCAATAAATTCACTTCCCAAGCAACAATTAGAGCTTTCCTACCTTTTGTGGAGCCATGAGACTCTTGCTGGATGAATTATCTCCCATCTAATTGTAAATGTTCAATAGTGCAGTAGTAGGTATCAATTTCAGAAGGTATCAAAGAAAGATCTTGAAGATAAGTCTTGCAGCTGCTTCAAGATTTTTTTTCAGGCACTTTAGTCAAATTGGATCTGTGTACCACTGTAAATGTTTATGTTTAGATTGCTTCTCCAGAATTAGCTCCTGTTAACTGGTCAATGAGACAGCTAGCCACTATAATTTCATTAGCAAAGACCAAATTGCCAATTTGTTTGTTGAATTATTTAGCAAATATGATAAAGATAGAGAAGCTCTTGATTTGTACCTACTTGGTTCACCATAAATTATTGAATGTATGCAACAAATAATAATGTCAGTGCCTTGTAGTATTAATGAAAATGTCATTTCAGGAATAACATGCTTGTGTCTCGTGGGATACAAATGCCCACGGCTGTGAAGACAGGAACAACAATTGTGGGTGTGGTCTACAAAGAGGGCGTTGTGTTGGGTGCAGATACCCGCGCCACTTCTGGAGACCTCATTGCTGATAAAAACTGTGACAAAATTCATTACATGCAACCAAACATCTATTGTTGTGGTGCTGGTGAGTGGTGATATGCTTTAGTCAAATGATATTTAGAAGCATGGAAACATTGGTGACAATTGAATAATGTTCAATTCTCATTACTTCCTTGAATTTCTTATGTTGCTAAATAAGAAATTTTTTTCATTAAATCAATTGTATCATTAAATCTCAGTTTAGTTCCACCCACTATGATTATTCAACTTTATTGGAACTGTTTTCTAAAATGTAAGAATGTTAAATTGTGAACCTGATAACAATAACATAATTACTACATAATAACATATGGTAGGTACTTTTATTTCAATAGCAAATTTTATTTCTTAGGCACAGCAGCAGACTTGGAAATGACCACCCAGCTGATGTCAAGTCAGCTTGAGCTGCACAGGCTGAACACAGGGCGGCAGGTGCTGGTCAGGACCGCCAATAGGATGCTCTCGCAGATGCTCTTCCGGTATCAGGTCAGCTCTTGCTTATAACTTGATTTACTGTTGTCCTTGCTTTCCATGTCTATGGACCATTGTTACCATTGACTGTTGCATTACCAGTGACGTTTGCATTACCAGTAACTGTTGCATTACCAGTGAAGGTAGTGTTACTAGTGACTGTTGAGTTACACCTGATCATGGTGTTTCAAGTAGCCATTGTTTTCGTTGCTCAGCGCTGTGTAATACCTGCTTGTTGTGCTGCAGGGACATGTGGGTGCTGCGCTGGTGTTGGGTGGTGTTGACAAGTATGGACCAGCCCTGTACAGCATTCATCCCCACGGCAGCTCTGACTATGGACCATACCAAGTGATGGGATCAGGTTCACTGGCCGCCATGTCCGTCTTCGAGACTCGCTGGAAGCCCGACTTGGAGGTCCTGTCAATAATTAAACTTCCTTAATAAGGTGCTTTTAAATCTAGATATAAATATACTTGCTTCACTTGATTCTCGACCACTTTCCAGTATCTGCTATGAGAACTTCGCTGTGGAATGATGCGAGAATCAAGCTATTTTTGTGTACCTTTTATTTAAAAAAATCTAATTAAATTGCTGCTTAAATTAGTTCATCTATTACTATTTAAAATCCACATTGATGCGTGGCGATAGTCTTTTACCACTATCGATATCGACTGAAATGATAATATTTTACAGTTGGAGGAAGCAAAGCTGATGGTTCGCGATGCCATTGCTGCCGGTATTTTCAACGACCTCTTTTCTGGCTCGAACGTTGATATGTGCGTCATCACACGTGACGGTGCCACTCATGTCAGGCCATATGAGGTTGCCAACATCAAGGGAAAGAGGTCAGAACCAAGAGGCATTTGCCATAATCTGTTTGGAAGACTTGAGGATGATGTGAGGTACCCATGCAAAAGAAAATTTAATAGATAAATGCCAGCAAGACGAGATCTTTGCCGCACCTGTATGGTTATTCGGAGTTGAAGGAATTATGTAAGGATGTATCAGATGAAGAAGGGCATCAGGATTTTTATCAGAAGCTGAAAATTTTTCATTACTGAATTGTAGTATTACTCTTATGTAAACAATATTATAAGGTGACATGTCTCAGGTTTTATTTATCCAATTTTTGATGATTCGACTGTTAATGGTTGAAATTTTCGTGTCAATAATTCTCTTTTATGCTGGATGAATGCTAGTTACGCCTTTAATACTACTGTGCTGGCGCAGTCTTTAGTTTAAACCGTTGATGACATCCGTTAATGGTACTAGTTTCGTTGATACAAGGAATGATTCACAATTAGGAACTGTCTTGACTTGAAAATCCGATGTTGGTTATCTCGGGAAACTAATATCGTTCAAGTTCACCTGCATCGGATGATTACGTTATCTATTATTCATAATCATTAACACCGGTTATAGTCAACAATAGTAGACTGAAATATTGAAATTTAATTTTATATTACAAGCACAATACATGTTTATTATCTATCTAACAGGCTTGGTAAGTATAACTACAAGCGTGGCTCCACTGCGGTGCTCAGCTCCAACGTCAAGAAAATTGAGATCGTGTCCGAGACCGTGAAGAAAACTCCATCGTCCACTGATGAGAGCATGGACACTGCCTAGCCTCCTATCGCTTTTTTCTAGTACAATATATACCCAAATTGATGCGAGTGTATTCCTTGTCTATCAGCGAACGTCGAGGTTAACTAGGTAATTGTTACGTCGAACGTCGTGGCTGTGTATTACCGTGCTACGTGAGAGCGCAAATTCCCATCGAAAAAGTTTTAAGATGGTTAGTTTTTGGTGAAATTCACTCTTAATTAGAAGGATACTCTGAAATTTTCTAGAATCATAACTGAAGTGGAAGTTCACCTTTCGAGTACTAATAAAAGTTACATAAAAACTTAATTTTTTTATGTGCTTTAGTTTCACAGTAATTGCTATCCCTTTATTTATCTGATTTGTAACGAGTGAATCGTTCGTTGCAGTTGATTGGGTTAATGGAAGGTTTTCGTCTTCAATGAAACAGCAATCGAGTGGTGGGGGGCTTGTCTTATCAATGTAAATTTTATATTTTGAGTCAGAATGACTGGTTGGTCAGTTTCATAGCTGTATATTTCGGTGAAATAAGGTGTCAGTTTCGACGTCGGAAGCCTGTAGGTTCATGGTGCATATATGAAACCTCTTCAGGGAAAAAATTTCCTAGGTCATAAGCCTCCATAAGAACCCAAACCTAAGATCGACAAGATACTGTGAAGTACCACTTTTCTCAGTTTCTCTATTGTTTCATAGCATTGTACTACACAATCCCTATTGTTAACCATAGTTTAACCGGAAGCTCACAATTCACACGAGTTGGTGGGATTTACCGCGATTTTCCACTTCTTTATCTTCTTTATAAGGGGATTAGAATGGTTCAAGCTTTGGCTCTAAGGTGGTACTTTCGACCTTTTCATCGGAATTAACACGTTAGGTGCGGCATGCATGCCCCCGATGAGTTGCACGGTCTTTTTTCCGGTTGAAATTCCACAATTTAGTTTCTTCTCGATTGCGTTTGTCGACAAAAAGTTATGATGGCCGTACTACATAAAATTTTGAAATGATTAGGAAAAAGGAAATTTTAATTTTTGCATCGGAACCTACAAATTTACTGGTAGATTTTGAGTTATCGGCCTTTTTATCCTCGGACTTGGCGCCGTTTTTTGGCCATCCGCCAGCTCTGGCGGGTCGTGCCTCACTTAACGTGTTAATATTTTCTCAACACACATTGGCAAGGAATTGAGTATAGATGAGAAGCAGGTTTGTTGTTTGTTGTTGTTGACCCTTCCCGCCTCGCTTCACGGCGCGAGGCGGGGCCTAGACCCAGTTCTGGGGCCAGACAAGTCGGTTGCCCCAGCGGGCCTGCAGCCCTGCTGCATTCACGAGGTCTGCCCAAAGGTCACCAACCGACAGGGATGTGGGCATTTCAGGGCAGGAGAAAAGATGAATGGTGTCGTGCGTGCTGGGTAGACAGAATGGGCAAAGTGGAGAAGGGTGTGTAGCAGGGTCTATTTTATTTAGACGGCATTTCCGTTGTTTGTCTTTAGCAGTGCCTTCGACTGTCGAATCCAAGCATACGGTGGTATGGAGATAATTAACACGCCCGTCAGTCCGAGTTGTGATGTCTCACGGGTCGATATCACTATTTATTGACTCGTCAGTATGATGAGCTATTCATATTCTTTATCCAATTCATATTCCTGTACTAATAACATGTATCATACTTGTAAATCAAATGATCGAGTATTTACGACCTGCAAATGTTCAGTGGGATTTCTGTGCATTCATCTCAGTTTCAGGCATTATTTTTAGTCACGAATAACATTGAAGGCCCTTTTAAACTGATTTTTGAGAACCAACTTTTAACCGCATAGGCGAAAGCGAGCCATGGTTCAGAGTTTTTGTAAAAACCAACTTTGGTGAATACTACACTTTTAATGACACCTGGACTGGCTGGACATACTCATCCAGCGGAACTTCATTGAAAATTCAGCTGTTATGCTAGCTCATATTTGAGAGAAAAAACGATTGCAGCAGTGATCGCTGGAGCGAGGATGCGACCAAACGTTTCCTATTGTTCTTGTGGCGGCGCATGCTTGCGATTGTCTCGAGATTGGCAGGACTGCCTGGCATCGAGGATTATATCATTCTTATTCTGAGCGGGGATTTACCTTACCGCCAAGACGCTCGAGATCTTTTATTGGATCGTTCTTTGCATGGAAACATGAGCGCTGAGATGGATGCGTGGCGTGTTGGCTTGGAGAGATATTGTGCACTGTCATCTATAGGGAAATTTTCGTATATTGTAACCTAAGGCGATTAAGTAGAATTGATAAAGGACGGACATGGTAAGCAATATCACCTGATCACAACATGAACATGACCACACCTGATCACAACATGAACATGACAACACCTGATCACAGCATGAACATGTTTACACGACGCGTGCTGCCTGAATTCTATGACAAAAATGATGCGACACTTGCTTTCTGAATTTTTTGACACAACGGCCGTGAAAATTTCTGTCGAAATTCTGGTGTAGAAATGACGTGTCATCTACTGGATGCTTGTATTCAAAATCATATATCAGCACGGACCATAATATCATTTTCATTTCACACGAAAAACTGGAGTTGCTTGTAAAATTTATTCAACAATACCGCATATGAACTAAAGAATAATGCTTTTTCTTTGAATACATGACTGTTGCACTTACATTCTGGCCACGGTGCAGTGAAGTGACGGTTTTAACGGCTGAAATCAGTACTGAGGCATGTAATAGCAGCCAGCAGGTATGTTTTGAATTTATTTCTTCCGAGTAATTGAAACAGAAAATCTTCACCTAAGGTCTGCTTATCATGAGGCGCTGACGTTTCAGTCAAAACATACAAATCAGCGACACAAAATTATCATGAACGGCCTCAATTAAATATTTGTACTAAATTTGTAATGAGCATTGTAATAATTAAATTTATATAATTTTTACTCGTTGAAAATTGCATTAGGCCCATAAATGTTTTTGCTGCCAACTAAATGGGGAAAAGGCCGATGCTGGTAAATTTGGCCGAAAAAAGGCTCGCAACGCCGGACTCCTCTGGTACGTGGTTACTTATGGAGACTTTGGTTCTGATAATACTCGTGAACATTAATGACACGAAATTTGCTGGCAACCTGGCTAGATCTCATATTTTTGAAATTCTTAGGAATTGAGAAATCAACCATATCATTAGACTAAAAAAATGCGAGGCACATTAAAAATGGATTCTTTGATCTATATTGATTGTTTATTTCAATTGAGTGACATCATGGGTGCAGTAGGTCTGTAACAGCATTCATCAACATTAGAAACTTATAAATAAATTTTAAATATATCCGGACTTCAATGCTCTATTCGCATAATAAAAATAGTTTTTTACATATTTATCTACCGGATTCTAAGCAATGCAATAAATTTTTTCCTGGCTTAAAAATTCTTTTATGTTAATGAACGGTATTTTACGAGAATCATTAAATATATAATTAAATTAAATTAAATTATTTCATAAATGAAATCTCCATCGCGTACGATGAGATCTCGTCGCCGCCAATTATGATTATTTTTAATTCAAACGCTTAATTAAGCGATACAACGCTCACGCATTCATGAGCGTGAATGATAGAATAGAATAGAATAGAATAGAAGTGTCGGCGCTGAAGAAATAGGCCCATGGCCTGTTGCCGATTCTTGAACTTTTCGTGACTTGATTCACAAGGGATCCGGCCTTTGGAACCCGATCTTTCCATAGCTGACGATTGATTGAGATAGCTGTAATGTATCGGAAGGGAGATGTATAATATTCGATTGTCATGTGCCAGTGGATTAAAAAAGACGTGTGACCATCCGAAAACAAGCACAGATTCTGCGCTTACGCTCCGTGAACTAAGTCGTGTATAAATTCTGTATCGGAAATCAAGAACAACCAAACTAAATTTACTGAATAAACAGAACATCTTGAATTAATGGTGAAAGAGAAAGAATGCACGAGAACAGCACCTGACAATAAACTGATTGATCAAATGAATATGCGGAAGAAGGAAACGTGACGCGCGCGAACTTTAAATTTGAACGCTAAACCTGCGCTAGAAGTTGTATATATTAGATGGGATTCTTTGAAAGGAAATGGACTTGCACACTGACAAAAACGTGCTCTTGTGTGCTATTTAGTAAATGCCTTGGGTTCTCTGCAAGATTTTCATGGCTTCTGACCTCCGTTCTAAAGTTGCTTTAGTGACGGAAGTGGATTCGACGTTAATTAGAAAGCGATTTTAGAACAGACAGTCCCCAGAAAATATGACAAAGCAAACATTTCGCCACAAACAGACAATAATAAAAAAATTATAGCAGTTGTATTGTCCCACTTCATTTAAATTAGTGAGAGTACCTATACTTTCGGAGATGACACAAGGGAGCAATTCAAAATCGTCCATGTGCATTTTTTAGTTACTGGAAGTACTCAGCAAGCAAAGATACGGTAACTATGGTATCATAGTTTTTTTTATTTACATTTAAAGCTTCTGCAATTTTTTTTTTCAGAGATGACGCCATGGAGCAATTCTGGATCGTTAGTCCACATTTAAGATCCGGGCGCAAGACGTGCAGAAAAATTTCAGACTCATCATTACAAAGAATCTTGCATTCTTTCTAGCCTCCAAATGAGCTTCCTGCGGAACTTCCTTAATTGCGGCTGAAAGATAATCTTTTTAATGATACCCGTGATGAGCCAACTAGGGTACCATGCAAGATAAGTCCAAGTTATTTGTTTCTCTTCAACAGAGTGTCTTCTAGAATTTACGTTAGCAGGTATAACTCAGTATCCCTTCAGCTTCAAACTCATCCAACTTGCGTGAATCTTTTTTGAAATTTCTCGAGGAAATTCGAAGTTTGTACGTCGAAAAACGCCGGATAAGATGAGATCACAAATTTTACGAGTTGAACTTGATAAACTTTTATGGTCCCGATGGACCTGCCGAAATTCACCCTCATCCGGACCGGAGAGATATTCTTGAGTCTTTTTTTATAGCGAAAATGGGGGAAACCTTTCCGTCTATGTACACAACTTTGCACTTGGTGCCCTTATTTCA